AGCTCGACCTCATCCTTGCTCGCATATCTGCCCAATCCACTCGAGATGTGGAGATTGAGCTCGGGTGTGCTCGACTGAGCACACAAATGGAGATTCTTGCAGCACATACCAGCTCAATCGAGGCAAAAGTCGACTACCCCCACTTTAGGTTTGATACTCGAGCCCGTACGATGAAGCAAATGTGTGAGGCCGAAGAAGAGGATGATTATTCCCAGCGATACGTTGATGATATTTCAGAGGAGGAGACATAGAGGCTTAATTCTCAAGTCCCTCCTCCCATCTCCGAATTTGAGCACCCGTCTCCGAGGCTGCTACACTGTGTTATGAAGTTGGTGGGATTTAGTTCGACTTGCTCCACAGATGAGCTCGTACTTCCAGAGGTTGACGACAAAGCTTATGTGGGAAAAGCTCTATGTTTTGAGTTGGGTATTGCTCGTGCTCGAACCCACTTCGCCCAGAACACTGCCACTCAGATCCACTGTGCTCGCCTTCTGGCCTTAGTGCCAGTGCTACCACTTCTGGAAAATACGAAGGCGTGGCATGACCTTCACTTCTTCTTAGACCCCGGATGAGTTCTCTTCAGATTTCGTCAAGCTAATGACGTTAAACAAGCGCTTCTTGGGAGGCAACCCAAGAAATTTACTGTTTTCTAGATATTTTTCTTTTTGCTCTTTTAGTTTTATATTTTAATAATTGGAGTTGGGAGTTCTTTTGTGTTTTTCTTGTCAGGAACTATTTGCGAGCTTGAGCAAGAGAAATAACGAGGTCCGAGGCTGAGCATAGGCGAGTGACTTGCACATGCATGCTTTTTCTCCTCGAGGCACTTCGGTTTGCACACCCTTTTCTTATTTTCTCTTTTTGAGTTTTTTTCTTTTGTCTTTTCTTTTGAGTTTGTGTCTTGTGTTAGCTGCTAGTTTGGTTCATTATATGAAAATGTTGGGTCCTATTATGTGACTTCCAGTTTGTGTTGAAGCAATGAGGTAATTGCCATTCTAAGTGTGGGGGAGTCTATTTGGATTTTGCATGCTTATGTGGTGGACCGGTCTAGTTTTAGGATTTTACGTTGTTGGGCATGTGATATTGGTGGATAATATGAATTGTTGATGAATGTTTGATGATATTGGGAAGTTGTGATAATGAACGTGTGGTCATTGCCTCGGTATTTTCTTGATTGCCTTGAGTGACATCTATTTGCCTTGTGAGATTTTGAGCCTTATTTTTTCTTCTTGTGAGATATTGGTCGTATTCTTGCATGATTAGAACTTGCCTTGAGTTTGTTTGAAAGGAATTGATTAGAGTTTAAAATTGCGAAAGTGATTGAGGCGTTTTGTTGATTAGCTCTCTTTCTGCCTTGTTCTTTGGTCCTAAAATTTATTCCACTAGTAGCCCTTTGAGCTTAAAACCTTTTCTTGTCAACCTATTGACTAATTTGTGTGATGATTGGGGGATTAGTGGCATTTTTTAGTATGGTGGAAATTTGAGTTGCATTTTATTTGCTTGCCCTGTTGAAAAAAAAAAATTGAAAAAAATTAGAGCTCACAAGGCGATTCAAATGGATTCTGCTCCTCTTACTAGTCGATTCATGTTGACGGGTAATGAGCATTTGGAAACTACTGTAGGACACTTGGATGACCTCCAATGTTCACACCTACAGAATGTTGTCCTTTTTGATTCGATCTTGTTCGGAAAAAGTTACTCTCCGAATAAAAAAAGGGATATTAAAAAAAAAAATATAAAAAAAACTGGGTCAAGTGATGTTGCAATTCGATTAGGGCAGTGAGGTGTTGTTTGTGGAGTTGTTTGGTGGATGGTGAATGTGCTATGTTGTTTACTCCAGATTAGTAGCGGAGAACTCAAGTAATTTATTTGCTCGAGAATTTTGTTGTTTATTTGAGCTTCTTTTTTGACATATATAGCCTTCCTTAAAACCGCATTACAACCCGTGAAGTCCTCTTGATTCGCATATTTTGAGCTTTGATTGTTTTTTAGTAATTTAGACGATTGGCAAGCATATGTTGAAACTTGAATATCGACCAATTTTGAGCGTGTCTATCATATATTCGTGCAAGAAACTGAGTGAGGTTTATATTACATTCTATGCGTTTGAGAGTGTGTCATTTTGAGCCCAAGTTGATATTTGAGGCATATGGTCGTACGGTCGTTGGAATTTGACTTGATTGAGTTAGGCATTTTGAGGCTCTTCTTATTTGAAACCATATCCATGCTCGTGTCTTGTTTTCTTTTCTTTTTGTTCGGGACGAACAAAAGTTTTAGTGTGGGGGAGTTGTTTGTCCCATTTTTGTGTCATTTTAGTCATTATTTTATCATTCTTTTTCCCCCGTATTGAGTCGTTTAGGTGGCTTTAGGATCTTTTTGTCATTTATTATGTGTTTTGCGTTCATTTGAGTGTTGCGGTATTTTCCGTTTGTTTTCCGGTCTTTTTCTGTTCTCTTTTTGTTTTTGGTGTGTAGTTTGGAGACCTCGACAGAACAGGTTTTCAAGAATCTTTTGGGGAAGCTGACACCATTAGAAAGAGGGGTTCGTTAGCTACGCGTAGAAAAAAACGGAACTCAATTCTGAGTTCAGACGAGCTCAAACGAGCCCAAAACGTGAAGCCGAGCAAGCTGCCCAACCAGGCGCGCGCCGCGCCCGCGTCGCGGCGAGACGAGCTCGCGACACACCTTTTGAATGTCTGCGCCCAGCTCCGCGGCGCGACAAACACATCCTCCACGGCGTGAAGACCCTCCGCGGCGCGACGAAGGCCTGCTCCACGCCCTCTCCGCGCCGTGAGGACCGCCACGAGCTTAGCAGAACTCCCAGATGTAACCGCCGCGCCGCAATGCAGTCCCGCGCCGTGATGCAGCATTCTTCCGCACCGCGATGAGGTCCCACGCCGCGACACCTGTGTCTCTACACGCTGCGCTGAGTTTTTACCACGCCATGTCACCTAATGATATATATATCGTACGGGCATCAGAAAAGAGGGACACATCTCGACCGTGGGTGAAAACCCTAGGTCCCGAGAAACACCACGACATCTCCTTTCTCCTTCCTCTCTTCTTCTTCCTTTCTTCTCCTTATTTTAATCTTTCCTCTCCAATTTTCTTCTTCTTTTTATTATTGTTCTTGGATGAAGCTTGTATCTTGGATTCGACATTTGAATTGAGATTAATGGTAAGAATTTCATTCTCTTATTTTAATTCATGAATAATGATTAATTTGAGTAGAATGATTATTTGTGTTGAATTCAATATGCATAGCTAATTCATTTCGCTAGAGATTGGGGAATGATTGTTCTTGTTTAATTCGCATCTCTCGGGCTTGAAATTGTTCTTTCTTATGTGAGTTGTTTCTATTAGGGATTGATAAATTCTTGCTTGATTAATTGATATAATCGAAGAGTGACACTTAGATCTTGCAGTTGGTAACAATTAAATGTTGATTAGTCGAGTTAGGATTTCGTTGATTCTATGTGATTAGTCGATTAACACTCTTCTAGTTAAATTAGCGACTTTTTGAACTGAAAGGGGAAAAGTCGTAGACTTAGGCTCACATGAGGTAGACGATGTCATAATTGACTAATCTACGTGTTTTAGATTGAAATACGCACTTGTTAATGACCCGTCCCTTGTTACGAAAAGTTATTGGGATTGGGATAATTGGCCTGTGTCGTATGCTCGAACTTGTTCGTCTATGTTCAATCTCTTGTTACGAAGAGTTATTGGAAGCGAACTGCTAGATGACTAAGCGAGAGTGTCAATTTTGAACCGAACAATTGATTGCCCGGTTTTGCTAGAACTTGAATTAATTATCTCCGACCTAGCTTCTTTTTTATTGTTTCGTTCACATTTCTTAGGTAGATTATTATTTTTATGTTATTTCTTAGCTGATAATTTACCCATCCTTATTTGATTAGTATGTTTAGGATTTTCTTTGCTTTTATGTGTTATCGATATCAGAACTAAATTCCAAACAACCTTCCTCGTGAGATCGACCCGGGGAACGAATCTTTAGATTCGGTACTCGGTAAAAAAAATAATATGTACCCAACAATCTATTTCATTTATGTTCATCTCTTAAAACAAGCTTAATCAAATCAATTATGTTTATCTTTTTAAATAAATCTTATCACTACGATATGATATTAATTTAAAATTATTTGCAACCTCATTTGAGCGGAGATTAATTTATTTTTTAAAACATTTTTAATTGGATAATATTAACACATACGAATAAATTTAAATACAAATCAGTGTGAATTCCAGTAAAAAAAATATAGATTCAAATCGTAATCATTTTTTTATTAAACTACTAGTCTTTGAGAAGAGAAGATCGTTAGACAAAAATTAGTTTTTTTTTTTT